TGACCACTCAGCTAGTGAACTAAACGTGACATTGCCTTAACTCCTCGTGCCTTCCCAACTGATTCTGGTCTGGCTTCTGCTCCTTGGCTGCCTTGGAAAAGCTCGCACTGAGGTCACCGTAGACCCTCCGAACTACCAGAGCCCGTGGCTGCCCTTCAGTCCCCACCTCACCTGACCCTTCTGTGGCAAGTGGCAGAGATGATCGACCCAAACGGAACAACCCAAAGAAACCAAACCCTTGGCTTCAAGGGTCCCCTCGTTTCTTACCGCTGGGATATTTGTTCTCCAGGGCTCCGCTACTGGAAGCTTCTGCTGCCCGGGGCTCCGTTCCTCGGCTCAGGCTTCCACCCACCAGTAATGACTGTCTTCAGTCCTAACTCTGCTCCGGAACCCTACAAGGGGGCTTTCCGGTGGCCTCCCAGACTGTGTTCCCGGGACCTCCTGTCCACGCCTCAAAAGTGTGTCAGGTGGAAAATACGAACTCCACCCTCGCATAATGCCTGGTGTACTTATTCAGCGTGAACTTCTGCAGGTCTGTTGTGCTGCCATTCAGCATGCTAGACCCTGGGGATCCAAGACGGGGAAGAGCGGCCCTGATGGACAAGAACGGACATCTGGCCATGCTGGGCTTAGATGCCACCACAGGGTTCAGGGAGGACGAGGAGAGGTGCCCAGCCCAGCCTGGGTGGAAGGAGGCAAAGGTGCTTTCACAGGGTCTGTCTCTGAGCTGACTCTCCCCTGTCAGAACTATCTATCGACCCCACTCGCTGCTCTCACACCCACCTCCGCCATCGAGACCCCATTGCCCTTGCCTGGATCCCTGGACCACAGCGCTTTTTCCAGGCCTGGCTTGTTTCTCCACAGTCTGTCCTTTACAATGTAACTCAGCTTTGGGCACTACTCTGACTAGAACTCTCCAGTGGCACCCCCTGGCCCCTTGAGCAAAAGGCAAACCCCTTATCCCGTGAGGGACCAAAGGTCACACGTGGGAGCGTCCCCCCTCCTCCAATTCCTGTGTCCAGTGCTCAGCGTGCTCCAGATGCACAAGTCCTGGCCAGCACCAAGCCCGTCCAGCCTCCGAGCCTGCGCCCTTGCCGTCTGCCATGCCCGGACGCCTTCTCCAGCTCCACGAGGAAACATCTCCGTCTTGTTATTCAAATCCTAGAGCACCTGTCAGAGCTCCTGACAAGCCTTCTCTGGCCACTCAAGGTAAAGCAGCAACTCCGTCGCTCCAACAGCCCTGCCTGGCACTTCTGATCACACTCACCTGTCACACGTCCTACACCACCACTCCCGAACTTAGCTCACTCATTTATGTTGGCTTTTTCAAAGCTATCTCTGCCGATGGACTGAAAGCTCCGTGAGAGCAGAAATGCTGTTTGACTTACTCTCCTCTGCGTTCATAAGGCCTAGTGTAGTGCCTGGGACTTAATAGGTCCTTAATAAATATTAGTCACGCACTAAAGCCAAAGCATGGCAGCTTTGTACAAATTCCGTAGCCCAGACTCCCTGGTCTGAATCCCACCTCTGCCAATCACTAGCTGTGTTGCCTGGGGCCAGTGACGTAGCCTTTTTGTGCCCCTTGGGAGCTTTGCTTGGTAACAAAATAAAGTTAAAAATACTCTGCCTGAGGGCACCTGGGTGGCTCAGGTCATGATCTCTAGTGGTCTGTGAGTTCGAGCCCCCTGTGCTGACAGCTCAGAGCCTGGAGCCTGCTTCGGATTCAGGGTCTCCCTCTCTGTCTGCCCCTCCCCCGCTCACGCTCCGTTTCTCTGTCTCTTAAAAATAAACCAACATTAGAAAAACACTTTCTAAAAAGAAGAACAAAACAAACAACAACAACAACAACAACAGCAACAACAAAAAAACCCCTCTCTTTTTAAACAGAGACAATTTCAGGGAATCTGTGATGTTCATCTGTTTGTCTCACAGGAAATGGAAAATACAGAGCAACAAAAGTAAAATGCGTTCTGATGATCAGAGGGGAAGCAAAGTTGATACTGAGTCCACCACTCTGACTCTTTTGTTCCTTGCCACCTCATCCTGCTGGGAGGAAAGAGGTACATGTTTTTATCCCCAGTACACCAACAGGAGAAATGAGAGGCGAACCCTGAGCAGTATGTCAGGGGTTACTTAACAAAACAGAGGCTGTACTAGCAAAGAGGTCAGCTCTTCAAACCGAACCTGGTGGGAAAGACAGTCTGTTAAGGTTGCCTTAGCTAATACGCTCAGAGGCTCTGAAAGAATGAGATCAGAATGATTTGGCCCGTGGACCGAATCCAGCCCACTGGGTGTATGTGTAAATAAAGTTTTATTAGAAAACAGCCGTGCCCATTCATTTAGGCATGTCTGTGAGTCCTTCCAGGTTACAACAGCAGACTTGACTGGATGCATCAGACCTTCCAGCCCACAAGGCCTAAAATATTTACTATCAGAGCCTGTATAGAACAAAACTTGCCCGTCTCTGATTTAGAGAATAGTGCCATGTGTCCGGATTGTGTTCTATTTCACAAGTGTCAGCATACTCAAGTTCCTGTTCCTGTTCAAACTAGTTCACTTAACAGGGAGGGTTTGGGGGGGGGGGGGGGGGGGGGGAGTTAATTGACAATCTTTGATTCAAGTGTATCTTACAGTTCAGAGAAAGAGTTCAATGGTTTGGTTCTGGGCTCAAATTAATATAGCTTCTCCACTTCGGGGGCACACAGTTTGCCCGTGGTCCTTGAACAGAACATTTTTACAAACTTGGAACAAAGCAGGTGAAATGGAATGCTTTTTGCTCTGGAGGATGTCTAAACCTCTGAAAACAAACACACTGTTCCCTAAATGCTAATACAGTCTTTCAGTCTGTCTTTTGAAGCTAAAAATGCATCTTACTGTAACTTTGTAGTGCCTTCAGAACTGGGAATCCAGCTTTCCAACTCTTTGTGCAGATGTTTGGTCACAGATGAAACTTTCATTTTTTAAAAACTGTACTGTGGACATTTTCACACATATGCAAAAACAGAGAGAACAGTATAATAAGCCCGCCGTCCCCGGCAAGCAGCCTCAACAAGTATCAATATTCTGCCCTTCTTCTCCCCCTTATCCTTCCTCCCAACTTCGTGCCTGTTTATTGTTTGCTGCGGTATCCGAAAGCAGACCTCCCGCATCAAATCATTTCGCCCATAAAAACTTGCTTGTTTCTGTTAGATAAGGCCTTTTCTCCTTTGAACGAAACTGTGATACGACTATCACATCTGACAGAATTCATAATAATCCTTACCATCAGCTACCACCCAGTCCAAGTTCAATTTTCCCCAACTGTCTCAATAATGTCTTGTTAAAGCTGGTTTGTTCAACTAAGAGCCCAAGTATGACCACATATCGAACTTGCTGATAGGTCACTTAGGTGTCTTTTCATCCACAATGGATTGCGCTCGGGGTGTTTTTTGGTTTGTTTTTTTTTCCCACCTACCACCGACACGGGCTTACGTTCTAATTGGCCAACAAACCTTACTGAGAGTAATACCTCTTCAGGCTGCACATGCTGTAAGCAAATTCATAGGCCCCTTAGGCACAAACTCACAAAGCTCCACTTTCCAGTGCAATCCTCCACCGGGACCAATATGCCAGGCCACCGCACACACTTTCTGCTCTCGAGAGAAGGAATTTAGCAAGCTAACTCTCTAAAATTAAATTTTTTCTGTGCTGCGATGGCCTGAAGACTCTGAATGATTTTTAAAAAACAAGGCATCCGTTCATTAAGGCTTGCTTTTTTTTTTTTTAAGTTAGTCAAATTTAATCAAGAATCACCAAGTAAATCAGACAAGCCTTGCAATCCATTACTGTTCCAAGTCACAACTGTAATTAATTAATTAAACGCCTAGCTCATACAGGACATTGGGTTATAAAAAGGGTGACCTGTGTCCCTGCCCACAGCGACTGACCGCCTCAATGAAGCAGTTACTGCATCGCTTGGACAAAACACCCAAGGAAGACGACACAAAACCACTCAAACTGACAGCTGTGCCCCTACCATTAGGTTAAGAATATGTGAGGTTGATCTGGGAGGCAGGAAAAAAAAGGACAAGGGTCAAAAGGAACAGAGGACGACTGCTGCTGGTTCGATCACTTATGAGCTGTAGCAGACTGGATGAGTTAGTTACTTCACTTCTCAGATTCTGTTTTATCACTTGCAAAACTGGAACAATCTCCTCCACCTCCCAGAGTAGTAGCCATAAACACTGAATCAGAAAATCTTACACGAAAGCCCAGCACTAGTGATGATGAAAATAATAATAATGAATTCACGGACTATAAAAATTGTTACGTCAGACATTGAGCTAAAAGGAAAGAAGTGGCTCACAGGACCTCAGGGTCCTTGCTGTCTGTCAACCATGGTGTGATAATGCCTCCCAATACCAGCACAGTAAGGTATAAGGGTGAGACCCCGGGGGCTTGCGGGGGCGGGGAGGAGGGGGACAGGCCAGCCTCCCATGGCTTTTAAATCAATTGCATGGTAAAGTCAGCACCTCGCAGCTCCCACCCCTCAAAGAGGAAGCCCCACCAGACTCCCAAACTTGCAATACACAAGGCATGGGTATATTCAGAGCCATAATGGTAGTTTCCTTCTCTGTTGGGGCAAGTCTTCAGCAGTCTGCTACAGAATATTTAAGGCGTCCTCTAGTATTAGGTCCAAATACCCAGTACTTGCTCAAACAAGGCCAAAGTAAAATCATAATTATTTTTTCCTAGAGTCTTAGTTCCTTTTGGTACATATATACAAAAAAGACAAGGACGTGAGCCGCCAGAAAAGAGGTGCCTGCAGCCACCATGCTTTGAGAATCCCAACCAAACCAAGGGGAAAAGACACCTGGAGAACAGAGCTCCTGTCTGACAGTCCTGTGAGATCTCCTGCGCCTGAAGCCATCTCGGACCTTCTCACCTTCCCAGAGTTCAACGGAGAACACATGAAGCTTCTGTATCACCCAGTCAACCCACAGAACTGTTAGAGACAATAAAATGCTGTTGGTTTAAGTCATTAAGTTTTGGGGTGATTCGTCAGGTAAGGAAAACCGTCAGGACTCCTTTACCAGCCAAGCATCCCCGGGTTCGGTCGTTTTTACAAGTCAGCTCTCCTCCTGGACTGTGAACCCCTGGGCGCTGCCCCTGTTTCTGGTTCTTCTTTGTAGGTCTAGGGAGCTGCACGTGGCCTGGCCCAGAACAAGTAGGTGCTCAAGAAATGTTTGTTGAACGGAAAGGAAATGCTTCATTTACCGCAAATGGGGATTTGCATTTACAGGATGACACCTCCCCCAGCCCTCAGTCCTTAAGGCGATTCCAAAGAGAAGGAGAGCGCAGGAAGGGCCAAGTTTAGGAGACCCACCCCAGGAAGGAAGGCGCCAAAGGGGCTCGTTGGGAGAAGTGATGGAGCTGGGCTTGTGGCCAGTCCACGTGAGAAGTCCGTGCAAGTCTGTGGCCGGCCACACGGAGGGCGGGACCAACCAAACTCTGAAACTCCGCGGCACTGGGCAAAGCCCCAGCGAAAAAGTGGAGACCCTGGGTGGAAGGTGGCCGCGCCTCCTCTCGCCCCCAGTCACCAGGACTTGGGGCAAGCCCCCGCACCCTCCCCGGCCGCCGCGGGCGAGGAGGAGGAAGAGAAAGAAAGTGACCGGAAGTCAGAAGTTTCCCAACATCGACCAAAATCCTCCCTCAGGAGGGGAGGGCTCCCCATCCTCGCCCGGCTCCGCCCAGTGAGGAGGGACCGCCACCAGTGCATCCAGGAAGTTGGGGGTCCTGTTCTTCTGTCCCAACAGGGAGGGCCTGGCCTGTAGCTCTCCCGCGGCGTTCCGTGCACCCCGAATTCCGTGAGAGGTTCCCCGGGACGGGCGGGGGCGCCCCAACTGATACTTACAATCGTCTAAGTCATCGTGCAAGTCCACAAAGTACAGAGGGATCTCTGAAAACCAAGAAACACACTGGAGTTACACATAAGGAGGGGGACCGCGGCAGGCGGGCTCAGGGGCGGGCGGGGTCCCCGGGCCTCCTGGGGTGGTCCGGCTTGGGGGGAGGGGGCCGCCCCTGCGCCCAGGGAGCCAACCCCACTCACCCGCCATCTTGGGATGGGCCAGGAGGCGGGGTCCGCGCGGGGTGGGGCGGGACCGGGGCGGGGGGCGGGGCCTAGGGCTCCGGGCCCCCGCCCCCCAGGGCCGGCACCTCCCCG